TCCCAGAGGCACCAGGGCACAACCAATTAATCAATCAATCCCTTTCGCCCCTCCCCCCCCCCCTCCCCCCTCCTAATGCTTGATTGACTGATTGATTGATTGATAGATTGATTATTGATTGATCGATTGATTGATTGATTAATTGATTGATTAATTGATTGATTGATTGATTGATTGCCTCCACGACGACATTCCGAAATCAAATCGATTACGTAATCGATTCAATTTCTGAATCTCGTCGCGGAAGCAACTGGCGTGCCTTAATTACTGTGTTGTTTGATTGTGGGGCACGCTAGCCCAATTGTTATTTGCGGGGGATTTTTCTTTGTCTGTTTCTACGGGGACAGAGTTGATGATGGCAATTGGGAATTGCACATGAGTATTTCAACCATTGATAGTCATACGACGTGCATACGACAAGATAGACGAATAAGGGGAGAAAAGAAAGCAGACGACCAAGATGAGTAAATCCGAGCACAGGTGCACATCGTTACGAAAGAAAATAATGAAAACAACGATGTAGTACGGCGCGACCCGACGCCTCGTTTCGACCAGTCGCCAACTGGTCATCGTCAGGGGTCAACTCCTGGCTACAAATGATGAAAAATTGTAGACGTACTGCTTAAGTATTACGTGAGAATGCTGGTTCACTATAGTGAATGAAAAAATAATCCTAGCGAAACTTCCAGAATACTCGATAGTGTAAGTCAGAAGGCCCTAGAAACGAGCCGCAAAATTCTGTCAGAAAGTCGCAAGCATGCCGGTAGACCCTCATTCATTGATCCATTCTGCCGAAAACTCAAGACCTAACAACTTAGTGTCCAATCAACATGCCTGTTGAAGGGTCTCTAAAAGACCTTGTCTGCCATTACCAATTCGTCAAACATCCTACCCATCTGTCCCACAACCCATTGAAACGTGTAGAGAAATTACTAAGAATATTGTCAAAATAGTAATCCAGGAACCGTCTAATTTTAAGCTCTATCTTCAAGGTGACAAGAAAACAGATTTCAGCCCCTGGCATACTGTTCATGGACTTGGCCCTGTGGAGGAAGGATGCTATCACGGCCATTTGCTGCTGTTTGGATGAATAAATGTCGAAATCGCGCAGGCTCTGAAATACTATGCCGTCGTCCAAGATGCATCTCTGATTTTTATGGGTAACAGCACACAAAACCTTGGATGGACAATGAAAAACCTTGATTACACAACCCAGATAATCCCAGACGTCGCTATCGCTAGTTCTCTCTAGAGTCAGATTGTCGTCGTAACACTGACTGAATTGCTCAATCATATGAAAGGCCTCCCATCTTGAAATAATACACCGTCTGTCGTACTTGACGAATACCGAAACGTCATCAATGAGCCATACACCTGCAAACAGTTTGTTCCTGTCACCTAAGGACCTGAGAAAACAGAACTCGTTACAGATGCACAGTAAACACGCCTAGGTCGGACTAGCTGGTTTTCCTATTGGAATTCCCAATTTTTGCTGCAAAACAATCCCCATGCACATCGTAAACGTGTTTGTTAAGTCAAAGGCCACGAAACTAAGCAACTCGGAGAACCTAACGACCTTCCATCCTTCCTGTGTTTTCAATCCTTGCTTCACCCTGACACCTTTACCTCTTCGCTTGACCTAAACTTTGTCGTGACCTTGTTCTTCGTACAGAAACACCAACCATTCTAAAGCGTTGAGAATTGAGTTATGAGGTAAATTAGCAAATATTTCTTTTACGCCGAAACTTGCAGCGACCACTTCTTCAAAGGAGTCAAAAGATTGGTTAAACTTAGCTAGTTTCGGAATAAGATCGCCAGGTGACTTGAGATTAAGATTATTATTCTCCGAAAGAGACCAGAGCAGGCAATTGATTGCTTTGGACGTAAGTCTACTAAGACTGGCAAGAGGGTCGGACCAGGAGGGGCAGATTGGTCTCCATGGCTGCACATCTTTATGTTTTGGCATCGCATAAGCCTTCCCCAACTGACAACTATAATCCCATTGCGCAAACTTGTGGAGCTTCTTCGAAAAATATTCTTTCTTGACGCCTTGTATGACCATGTGTTCACTTCTATCAATTTTAACAAACCCATCGTTTTGGAGAAACAACGTATTTAATCCGCCTAGATAGACTGTGGGGCAACATACAAAGGAATATCTGGGATTGTGATCAACAGCCCCACCAGACCTTCAAACTTAACCTTCCAATCTTTGACAATGTTACAGTCGGTGTTGTGAAAACGACCATGATCCTTCTTCACGAAAAAACAACTTACCAAGTCAATAGTCGCGATCTGGAAATGTGAAGTATCGTTTTGGACGGTACAAAGAGATTGGATGATAAAATTGGACAGAGCGATTATGTTGGCGAGTAAGTTAGGGTACGGGATATTACGAGAGTTTTTTAGGATGGGACGAGACCGACAAGGATGACAGTCTACATGCAATATGCCCATTAGTATAGGAAAATAAGAGTAGGAGGGTCGGGTGATGGTGAAGGAAATGGGAGGGGAGGGGGGTTTGATGAAAAAGACACAGAGGCAGAAGGATCTGAGAGGGAAGACGAGGAGTACTGTATAGAATTAGTATAAGGAGGAAGAACAGATCCAACAAGTCGAGAAAACGAATTACACGAGCATCGAAGAGAAGTGAGTGTAGTTGTTTTCCTAAAGTTATGAATATAGTCGGCCACTGTTTTATTCTTAGGACACACAATTTTCAATCTCCTACTCTGTGTAGCACATCGAACATGTTCGGAGATTTTCCGAACGTCTGAACATGTTCGGGTGTTCGGCCGAACGCCACTCGAACGTGTTCGGCCGAACATATTAAAAAAAATAATTTGTTTTTGGTTTTTGATTTTTACCTCGCGTTTGGTTACGAATTTGACCATACCTCCAAGGAAAAAGTTGCTTGTATTATTATTTTACATAACATATATTTTTTTCAGATGTTTTGGAGAACGTTTTTTTGTTTGTTTTTTTTAAATATTTTTATGTTCGCGTTCGGAGAGTTTCGGCGCTCGTTCGCGTCCGGTCCCGAACGTTCGGGTTCGGTCACCGAACCCGAACACGATGCTACACAGCTCCTACCAATGATATCCCATAAAGGTTTCCTGGCTGCCGAACCCCGAATGACTTTAACGCATACTTTCCTGAATTTCGACCGAGACAGCCTTGCATCATAAGGAATCCGAACAACCGGCTTCACTCGGATGTTAAACTTGAACTTCGCACGAAAAACCCGTGAAAAAACAGCTCATAGGGTATTCCTACTCTCTTTCTTCGAAAAGGAACGGATAGCAGAATAATCGCTCAACAGTTCATCAAAATCTTTCTTATAAAACTCCTTTCGTGACGCGGGACATGCAAGCAGAGGAATAAGAGTTTTCTTCCTTTCCAAAAACTTAGAACAGAACTTGGTCAACCCAACGAACTCTAAATCCCTCGCAGAACTGAGCCATTCTCTCGGGGATTTCAACAGACACGTTCCTAACTCGCACTTCACTACAGTAGAACCGTTAATCCTCCTTAGCAATTTCCATTTATCACAAAGAACAAATCCTCCCGAACACTTGACTCGAAAACGGGCGATCCCCTTGTCAAAGGCAACATCTAGGACTTTATTTAGCGAAAACGAAGAAAAAACAAAAGAAGCTGCGACTTTTAACAAGGATGAAGATTTCCCTGTGTTGCTTCGTACCTGACCGCAAATACGTTGCTTCTTACCACGTTCCTTCTTGCCAAGTCCACACTTCCTATTCGCATTGCACCTAGACTGTCGTGGATTATTCAAAAAAGAAGAAAAAAAACGAATGAAATTTTTTTTGACGTTCAGCAAATCATCAACAACTGGGTGAGCAATCGATATGGCCACATAGTTCTCGATACCATAACGTCTCAGCCATCGGTATAACCGATGGTTTCTGAGATTCTGATTCGTACCTTGATAACCCGTTCGTTGTACGTGCTCTCTCCAGCGAACATCCAAAGATCTAGTACTACATCCTATGTACGTATGCTTACACCAAGGGGAAATAATGACGTATACCACATGACCGGGACAACTACCAAAGTCGTATCCAGACTTAGACAGGGCAGAGACGTGCGAAGCGAACTTAGTCCCCCAGGAGAAAGCAGACGATAAAATAAGGAGAATAACCAAACTGCGAAACAACTGATTCAAGTCTAATCTACACAAACGTTCCTTCGAATACCTCATAGAGCGAACATCAGACAACAGAGAAAGGATTCGACCGGCGCTCGGAATCGACCTTAAGAAGTCTCGGAGTTAGCAAGTCCGTCTGTGGAAGTTGCTGCCACATCGGAAAACATATTATCCTCGTGCTCGTCTTCCTCCTGCTGCTCGCCTTCGTCGTCGCTGACGAGTCTCCGATTCGTGGGTCGATCGAATGCCCTGATAGTGTAGATGTCAACAAGATCCGCTGATGTTTTCTTTACTCCTGCATAGTCAATCTCTTCTTCATCACACAAGGTTTCGAGCTGCATTTTGCGCAGCTTCGACAGATCATTGTTCACCCTTTTGAAGAAGACATCCCATTCCTCTCCCACTTTTCTGACAAAGATGACTTTCACTTGATTTCCATTCCTGTGCACTGGACTGGCCCCGCTCTTGCTCCTCCTTCTTAGTACCAGTTTCCTCTTCGTACTCGATGGAGACGTAATCTTTATTCAGTTGATTCAGTCCTTGAGCGCAGACACTTCTCGTTCCACCATATCCTTCTTATCTCGAATTCGTCTGTAGGCCTCCGTGAGCTTGGCCCACTCGGCAGGTGTCTGAGCGCCATCTTCTTGTCTAGATTTTCCTTTAGCCGGTTCAATAGGCGGACTCTTCTCTGTGGCAACTTCTGCGCTACACTTACTGCCACACTTCAGGACCTCCACTTCGTCTTTCAAAGAAAGAATGTCTCGGACGAGAGCCTGATTGTTCGTCTTCAGAAAATCCAACTCCCTACTGGCTTTGCCAGAGCTGAGACGCCATCCTTATCAAATCATCATTATCTTTCCTGAGCCGTTCCATCTCCTCCATGCGTTGTTTCTCCAATTGTTCTCTGGCCGCGGAGTCTTCCCGCCTCCACCGATCATCCTGTTCCTTGCGTTTGCCTTCGTCGCTACGAGTTTCATCACGTCTTGCCTCCATTACGCAACCAGCGGTGGATACGCGGCTCGTACTCGCTTTCTTCCCCAAAACTTCTTGACAGACCTCCTTCATATTATCCTTCACCATCCTTTCGAGCGACCGTTCGAATTCTTTTCTCTCCTTCTTAGCCTTGGCTCGCTCTTCTTCCGCTGCTTGCACTTTCCTTTTCTCCTCCTCCTCTTCCAGTTTTTCTTCCTTGGCACGCCTTTCCTTATCTTTGTTCTCCATCTCCTCCGAGAACCATCCCCAAACTTTGTCGAACCTTTCATTTTTCTCCCTTTCACGGTTGTCCGTCCACCAATTGTTCCTTGGACGTTGCTGGTACCCCGTCCTCCCGTAGTTGTTGCTGTATCCTTGGTTGTACCCATTATCATACCCTTGGTTGTTGTATCCTTTATTTCCTTGATTGGTGCCATGATTGGAGTTGTGCCGACTACCTTTGTTTTGACCGCCGTTGGCTGCAGGTGGTCTATACGGCACAATTGCATTCGGAGTGGAAAGCAATCCATCGTTATCTTGAGCCGGAGCTCCACCATTGCCTCCTAAGAGAGCGACAACGTTCGGGACCTGTCGAAGCTGACAGTCCCTAACGAAGTGACCGGGCTGCTTACAATGATGGCAGACCTGGGGACCCCCAGAATACATGTTGGCAAATAATCGAAAAAAGACGAAGAAAAACAAGACCAAGGACCGGTCAAAACGTAGCCACACAGCGTAGTGAATGCCACAGAGGTTGTTACGCGTATTGAAGCACATGAGTGTTCCAACCATTGATACTCATACGACATGCATACGATAAGATAGACGAAGGTGAGAATAAAGGGAGAAAAGAAAGCAGACGACCAAGATGATTAAATCCGAGCACAGGTGCACATCGTTACGAAAGAAAATAGTGAAAACAACGATGCAGTACGGCGCGACCCGACGCCGCGTTTCGACCAGTCGCCAACTGGTCATCGTTAGGGGTCAACTCCTGGCTACAGATGATGAAAAATTGTAGACGCACTGCTTAAGTACTACGTGAGAATGCCGGTTCACTATAGTGAATGAAAAAATAGTCCTAGTGAAACTTCCAGAATACTCGATAGCGTAAGTCAGAAGGCCCTAGAAACGAGCCGCATAATTCTGTCAGAAAGTCACAAGCGTGCCGGTAGACCCTCATTCATTGATCCGTTCTTCCGAAAACTCAAGAACTAACAACTTAGTGCCCAATCAACAGGCCTGCTGAAGGGCATCTAAAAGGCCTTGTATGCCATTACCAATTCGTCAAACATCCTAGCCATTTGTCCCACAACCCATTGAAACGTCTAAAGAAATTACTAAGAATATTGTCAAAATAGTAATCCAGGAACCGTCTAATTCTAAGCTCTATCTTCAAGGTGACAAGAAAACAAATTTCATCCCCTGGCATACTGTTCATGGACTTGGAGGAAGGATGCTATTACGACCGTTTTCTGTTGTTTGGATGAATAAGAGTCGAAATCCTACAGGCTCTGAAATACTATGCCGTCGTCCAAGATGCATTTCTGATTTTTATGGGTAACAGCACACAAAACCTTGGATGGACAATGAAAAACCTTGATTACACAACCCAGATAATCCCAGACGTCGCTATCACTAGTTCTCTCTAGAGTCAGATTGTCATCGTAACACTGACTGAATTGCTCAATCATATGAAAGGCCTCCCATCTTGAAATAATACACCGTCTGTCGTGTTTGACGAATACTGAAACGTCATCAATGAGCCATACACCTGCAAACAGTTTGTTCCTGTCACCTAAGGACCTGAGAAAACAGAACTCGTTATAGATGCACAGTAAACACGCTGTTTTTCCCATTGGAATTCCCACTTTGTGCTGCAAAACAATCCCAATGCACCTCGTAAACTTGTTTGTTAAGTCAAAGGCCACAAAACTAAGCAATTTGGAGAAGTTAACTGCCTTCCATCCTTCCCGTGTTTTCAATCCTTGCTTGACCCTGGCACCTTTACCACTTCGCTTGACCCAAACTTTGTCGTGACCTTGTTCTTCGTACAAAAAAAGCGTTGAGAATGGAGTTATGAGGTAAATTAGCAAACATTTCTTTTACGTCGAAACTTGCAGCGACCACTTCTTCAAAGGAGTCAACAGATTGGTTAAACTTAGCTAGTCTCGGAAGAAGATCGCCAGGTGACTTGGGAATTGGTTTCTTTGCTCTTCTGCCCTTTCTAGACTCTGACCAATTTTCATTTCTTATATGGTCTCTCAATTGTACTAGTGGACGACCTTAAATTTTCTGCAAAACTATTACGTTATTGACGTTGGATCGCAGGGCTAACTGTGTTTTCTAAAAAAACAGTTTTTTCTTGTCTTGTTGTGACACTCAAACCTGAGGTCTAAATCTTGTGCTCAAAACTTGTTTACGGAAAAACGTATAGCATAATTTGGCAAAATGGACTTTCGTTTCGGTCCATTGGCAGTTTTCACGAAGTGCATGTTACCAGCAGAGCCTGCCCCTTACCTATAAAGTCTTTTGCATTGGAAGCGTCTGTCGACCGCAAGAAATCTGTATACGTACGGGTGGGTAGTAGGGGCTACAACGCGCCGATCGCGGATGACTTGTGTCCTTGGGCGTCAATTGCACGATTCCCTTACCCATCACCTTTCTACCCTCTGCCGATGGTCACGAGGAAGAGATCTTGAGGTGGACCAGCAAGCGGCAGCCGATGGTTGTTGTCGCTGCCAGCTATCCCCGTGGGTCTAGTCCTTGCTCATTCCTGTGGTAGCCGTATTTGGTGCAACTTTTAGTCCAGATACCGCAATAATTACTGGGCAACGTGGGCATTCTATTCGGGTGGAGACGGTAGGAAGCAGTATGCTAGGAGACGGTAGATGGAACCTTCAATACTGGGGCCTGTTAAAATAAATAAAAAATAAAAAAAGAAAGAAAGAAAGAAAGAAAGAAAGACACAGAGAAAGACGAGGACCCGGGCCCCTTGTTCTCTTCCTTTCGTTGACAATGTCTCTGAAGACATCTGTGGTTGGTCTGTTACTTGTCAGATACAACTGTCAGCGCTCTTTTTTTTATTTTTATTTTTTTTTTACCAGTTTTCTCTCTCCCTATGGCAGATCTTTTCGGGCAGTTTTTTCCTTTCTTTGGGTGGTCTGGCTGTCGCAAGAATTCAAAACTAAATTAAACCCCTGCTAGTGGGACTTGGCCCCCGGCTTCCTCTATTGAGTTGGTAGTATATAAAGAGGAGGGGGGGGGGGGGGGGGGGGGGGGGAGGGGGGGGGGGGGGGGCGGGTTAATTGAGTCGCCCAGCAGTGCACCCCCGGCAAGTTGCCCGGGGGTCACGTGTACGGGCCCCCCGTGCAGGCAAAACCCTGAAAGCCCTTTCTTTTCGTTTTTGAAGTTTTTTCTTTTGTTTTTGCGGAACGCCTCTGCACCCACCTGGCTCTGTCAGAATCTGAGCTGATTTTCATTTACAAAACGCTTCGAGGTTTCCCCGAAACCAGACTAAATACAACTCAGAGCAGAGTCAAAACAGACCCAAAACAGACTCAAACACACTCAAAACAGGTTGGAAACAAACACAGAGGGACTCAAATGGACCTGCAGAGTCGAACGAGACTCGAACAAAGGGCCTCGCTCCACTCCTCTCGACATGCACAAACCACAAAACTCATATCGCAGTCTATATTTCCACGTTTTGTTGCTGTAGATTCACTCTCGTTTTACGCCTTGCGAGAGGTCCTGAGGAGTGGAGCGAGGGCCAAACTCTGGCGCACAGACTCAAACACAGGGCCGGGCTCAAACGGAGTCGACCAATTCAAACAGTCCAGTAACTCCCCACCAATAGATTGGAGCCATTTGGGAAAAAAAAGAACAAAAAAAGAACCAAAAAAAAAGAAAAAAAAAAAGAAAAAAAAAACAAAAACAAAAAAAAACAAAAACAAAAAAAAGACTCAAACTGACTTGAAACTGACTCAAAACAGAATTAGACAGACATGCATACAGACCTACAGATTCGAAACAGAGGCGACAGACTCACAACAGAAGCCAACAGACTCAACAGACATATGGACTCAAGCAGAGACTCAAAACATACTGAAAACAGACTGAAAACAGACTTGAACAGACCCAGGCGTGAAAAAAAACAGACTTATTGGCAATGAAATGTTAAGAGTCACAAGAGCGTAGAGCTGTGGCAGGAGGAGGAATGACTGAAGGAGTGATAAATTAATCCTCATTTTTGCAAGGGTAAATTAGTGGTAGGTAGTATTGCAAAATCAGGGGCCCGACAGGGGTGAAGAGGCACAATGCGCTTTGGTCACTGGTTTCTTTGTGTTGTATTCCAAGTTTCATGTTGTGTATGAGGGATGCAGGACCCGTTTTCGATCAGGTGCAGCTCCCCAGAGTCCCCACCAATTGGTGGAGTGACTCATTAAGGTTTTACTAGGAAGGGATGATCATACCACTCTTCCTAGGAGAATCAGCAGAGTCTTAATTAACCAAAAAAAGGGAAAATTGTTGAAATGCCCCTGAAAGTTGGGGTATTTCGTCAGATACCCCTAGTTGGAGTTGTGTATATGCCCCGGTATATCTGGCCTGCAGATGGCAAAAGACATGCACAGGTCCCTGCAGCCGAGTGCCAGAGCATATAGCAAAGTTGCCCGTGAGCAGGCCGGGGGCAGATCCATAAGTTTGGGGCATCTCAGCATATTACCGCTGTGCTTTAGGGGTAGCCAACGAAATACCCAAACTTATAGGGGTATTTCAACAAATTCCACCCCCTCTTGCTCCTCCCCCCCCCC